CGGGGGTCGTGTTTCCTGATAAGCCTCGGGCGCCTCCCCCGGCCCCACCCCCAGCCGGGCTGTGGCCCGGGAACGCAGCCCGTGGAGTATTGGCTTGTCTGTCTGTCATTCTGCACCCGGACGCTCCGCTCGGCGGCGTGGGGGAGGGGGGGAGGGAGGGCGCGGCGGGCGAGGGTGGGCGCGTGGGTAAGAATGTAGCATTTCACGTGTCTCTTCGCGGCCCTGCTCCACGCGGGAATGGCCCCGGCCTTCTCGGGTTGTGGCAACTCGGTGACGGGTGAAAGCAAGCTTGGTGGAACCCCCGTGTGGGTGGTGCGTGTGCTTTGGGGCCGAGTGGTTCGCCTTGCTGACACGGGACCTGGTCTCTGACCTTTGGGGGGCATCGGCTTTGACCCGAGCTCTGACAGCGGGGCGGCGGGGCGGCGGTGTTCATGCCTGTCACGTGGGAGCCCTGCGCAGCTGGAGAATTTCCTCCGGGATCCAAGACTTGGAGCTAAGGCTGCCTGCCAGGGCGGCCGAGGGACTGCCCCGCACCCAGGACGGGAACCTGGGAGGCTGAGGCCAAGAGGCGGGACCGGGGCTGAAAGCTCCGTAAGGACTGCTCTGAGGGAAAGGCCTTTTCCACAACCTGAGAGCCAGGGATTAATCGGACTGGAGTGTGTGGGGTGGGGAGGGGGGTGGGCGGAGGCCGGTCACCTCCGCTCTCAGGACTCTGCCAAGGCTAGCCAGGGAGTTTGTGTCATCCTGGTATAAGGAGTGTTTATTTGATGGGTCTGATTAAACCCAAATCAAAAGTTAAAACGCATCCCCATCCCTTTTTCAGAGGAGAAAAGTGTCATTGGCGGCTTAAAGGCTGGCAAGCAAAGGGGGAGGCATTGTTCAAGAACAGCAGGATATCAGATGCGCCCCAACAGATCAGAAGAGGTCCCAAGGCTATTGTGGAAGAGCCTCTACTCTCTTATGGCCATGTGAGGCTAGGGATGCTAGGCCCTTAGGGGAGTTGACAAGTTCTTTCTAGGAACCTGCTCGGTAGTATGGAGAAGCCCTGGTGGTGGACACCACCGGCAGCTCCTCGGAGAAAGACCGGTCTGTCTCTACTGAGTAATTAGTCTCTGAAACTCACAGAGGCAGTTTTGCCCTCAATGGAATAGCGTTTGTTCTTTTTTTGCTATTCTGTAGAATGGGCCTTTAGATAGGTGTGATGGGGGAGGAGTTGCTTACAGCGACCCTGGCACAACAGACTGAAGCAAGACCTAGCCCTGCACCAGCCTCCACATGGTTGTATTCGGCCCATCCTTGCTGTCACTGCGTCAGTCCACCTCCTTGAGGGTCTTCCTGTCGTTCGTAGGCTCTGTACTTTACCAAGCATGACTAGTCCCTCCTGACCTGTGCCCGAAGGAGGACCAAGTCTGCTCATCTTCCAGTCTAAGGAATTACCAGTGATGGTCGGCTGGCTGAGGGCTCAAACATACACTTGTGAGGACGGCATAAGGCCAGGCAGCTCTTTGCTCTCTTATACATTGAGCCGACTCCACCACAACAGGTAACGGCAATGTTCAGAACAATTGAGAACTCTCCACAGGTAAGAAGCTCAGAATGTAAAAGTTGTGCTTCACCTGATCACTTCCGCCAGCGGTGGTCATTGTATTTGAAAATGTGTTTGGCTAAGCAGACACCAGATATCTCATTGCTGTTTAATTTTTATTTGATCACACGGTTTCCTCTTCTAATTCCACTGCTCCATTATTTAGTTCTAAACACATCTTGGAAATGTTTAGCCAACCAGAGATCGGTCTCCTTAAGGGGTTCCATGGAAATGCCAGCTGTCAGCTTGCTGAAGGTGAAACCCAGCGAGGGAGGAGACTAAAACAAGGATCCTCCGCTCTGAATTTTGGGTACAAAGAAAACCAGGCTCTTGGAGGAGAACCTAGAGCATAACAGTCCAACCGATTAGCATTGCCTCCTCCCTCCTCCTCTTGGTATCTCTGTCCAATCCAGGGCAGGGGCTTGGCATGTGTGCCCACTGAGTGAAATGCCCTTTGGATTCCAGTATGGACTCATCCTTTTGAGATGTACCGTGATAGAAGAATCCAGCCAAGAACCTCCAAGAAGGAGGTGCTTGAGTTCTTTCAAAAATTAGGCTCTGATGGAACAGTAAGTGTGCCCAGGGCAGTGTGAGGAGAAGGCCATCTAAGGCAGAGCCAGCTCTGAGAACACCAAACCCCGCCCTGCCACACACACAGTTGGCAAGTTGATTCAGACTCACCTCTGGGGAGCCTGGAGGGCATCAGACAGGAGGGGCATTTGAGTGGAGGTGAAGCTTTCCAGTTCTCAACAGCAGAGAGAAGGAAGGAGAGTCCTGGAGGTGCAGGAAACAGAGGGTGCCACACAGGTAGGAGAGACCACAGTTGTTTGGGACCAGGCAGCTGCTAGGTGAGCCTGGTATGTGACTGGAAGGCCCTTGGTAGGCTGGAATTGGAAAGGTAAGGCTTTGTGTTGCTGTGTGCCATTGAGTCAATTCCAAGGCCTCTCGACTCCATCTGACCCAGTAGACTTGCCCTAGAGTCTGTCATCTTTACGGGAGCAGGCTTTGTCCCCTCTGGGGGCCCACTGGTTGGTCTCCAGCTGCCAGCTGTAACCGAGAGTGCCTAACCATTGTGCCACCAGGGTTCTTTTAAGGCCGAGTTGCTAACCTCAAGATCAGTAGTTTGAAACCACCAGCGGCTCCACGGGAGAAAAGTGAGTGAGGCTTTCTACTCCCATAAAGAGGTACAGTCTCGGAAGCCTACCCAGTCCTAGCGAGTTTGCTTTGAGTCTGAATGGACTCGGTGGCTATGACTTTGGATTGTTCTAGAAACGGTCTACAAACAGGCCTGAATTATTTCCTGGAGGCACTGGACATTCATTCTACCAGAGTTGGCGCTTTCCCAAAGGAACTTAGGGGTGGGGGGCATGGATATTTTTCTCTTCTGTCACTTGTCCCCAGAAGGCTCTTCCCAAGAAAGGGTGTTAGAGAGAAAGAAGGACCCAGGTCTGAAGACGAATTGCACCCTGATCAAAAATGGAACCATCTGTGGATAACGTTCAGTCAGCTGGAGGAGGAAGGAGGGAAGGCCACCATGTTAATATTCATGTCCTGGTTGCCAGGCTCATGGTTGCCATTTATAGAATGTTAATTAGCTTCTGCAGAGGTCCGCAGGCCACGGTCTATCATACATTCCACACAAGTGCCACGGAACACGATTCAACCACCTGGGCCACAGAGAAGAACCAGCAGTTGCACGTGGACACCACATGGTCCAGCACTCTGCCTGCCCTGCCTCAGCCTAGGCCCCAGCTGACCCTCCAGCCCGGCTCCTAATCCCACTCCAGGCCCACCTTCCTGTTGCTGGCTCATGTCTGGCCTCTCATTTCTCTGGATCTGGATCCTATGCCCAGGACACTGCTGCAGTGAGTCTGCCCAAGCTGCAGGAGGTGGAGGGAGCAGAGTGCTTGAAGACAGCCCTGGGCAGTGGTGGGCTTATTGCCCAAGGCTTCCTCACTTACCTGGATCCTGAGCCTCATTCGCTAGGGTACCACCTGCAAAATTACCTCCCCTATATCCTCTTCTTTGGCTCCAATGCTGGGCTGAGTCTTTGAATTATAAGTAAATACATCCTTGGGGCTGTCCCTAGTCCTAAGTTCTGGCTGTGGACAGGATGCTGGGGCAGGTGTTCTCACCAGGACAAGCAAGTAGACGAATGGCCCTTCTCCGATTGGGTAGTAGGACAATTGCGTTGAGTCATTTCTTGAGCAGTTGATTTCCAGCCATTTTCGTTGTTTCTCTGGATCCTTGCTTTTGGTGGTCAGAGTGACGGCATTTCCTGCAATGTGCACTCCAGCCTAGTAGTCCGCATGCTCGTCTAGTTTAAAGTGGCCCAAGCCTGTCCATTGCCACTCACTAACACCCAGGAC